TTTTTTTTGCATGGCTGGTTAGTGCATGCCATCTAGAGCCTGCACCGCAATTCTCAAGTCGAAAATCCAAAGGGGTGGGGAGCTATAGCATTTCAACATTTGCCCCAAGTATGAATGTTTGAGCGTTTCCCCATGAAAGCACATGCTCTTCTTTTATTTTTCCCAGCTACTCAGCATGCCCTAAGCCCTTGTTTTTTGCATGGCTGGTTAGTGCATGCCATCTAGAGCCTGCACCGCAATTCTCAAGTCGAAAATCCAAAGGGTGGGGAGCTATAGCATTTCAACATTTGCCCCAAGTATGAATGTTTGAGCGTTTCCCCATGAAAGCACATGCTCTTCTTTTATTTTTCCCAGCTACTCAGCATGCCCTAAGCCCTTGTTTTTTGCATGGCTGGTTAGTGCATGCCATCTAGAGCCTGCACCGCAATTCTCAAGTCGAAAATCCAAAGGGGTGGGGAGCTATAGCATTTCAACATTTGCCCCAAGTATGAATGTTTGAGCGTTTCCCCATGAAAGCACATGCTCTTCTTTTATTTTTCCCAGCTACTCAGCATGCCCTAAGCCCTTGTTTTTTGCATGGCTGTTAGTGCATGCCATCTAGAGCCTGCACCGCAATTCTCAAGTCGAAAATCCAAAGGGGTGGGGAGCTATAGCATTTCAACATTTGCCCCAAGTATGAATGTTTGAGCGTTTCCCCATGAAAGCACATGCTCTTCTTTTATTTTTCCCAGCTACTCAGCATGCCCTAAGCCCTTGTTTTTTGCATGGCTGGTTAGTGCATGCCATCTAGAGCCTGCACCGCAATTCTCAAGTCGAAAATCCAAAGGGGTGGGGAGCTATAGCATTTCAACATTTGCCCCAAGTATGAATGTTTGAGCGTTTCCCCATGAAAGCACATGCTCTTCTTTTATTTTTCCCAGCTACTCAGCATGCCCTAAGCCCTTGTTTTTTGCATGGCTGGTTAGTGCATGCCATCTAGAGCCTGCACCGCAATTCTCAAGTCGAAAATCCAAAGGGGTGGGGAGCTATAGCATTTCAACATTTGCCCCAAGTATGAATGTTTGAGCGTTTCCCCATGAAAGCACATGCTCTTCTTTTATTTTTCCCAGCTACTCAGCATGCCCTAAGCCCTTTTTTTTTGCATGGCTGGTTAGTGCATGCCATCTAGAGCCTGCACCGCAATTCTCAAGTCGAAAATCCAAAGGGGTGGGGAGCTATAGCATTTCAACATTTGCCCCAAGTATGAATGTTTGAGCGTTTCCCCATGAAAGCACATGCTCTTCTTTTATTTTTCCCAGCTACTCAGCATGCCCTAAGCCCTTGTTTTTTGCATGGCTGGTTAGTGCATGCCATCTAGAGCCTGCACCGCAATTCTCAAGTCGAAAATCCAAAGGGTGGGGAGCTATAGCATTTCAACATTTGCCCCAAGTATGAATGTTTGAGCGTTTCCCCATGAAAGCACATGCTCTTCTTTTATTTTTCCCAGCTACTCAGCATGCCCTAAGCCCTTGTTTTTTGCATGGCTGGTTAGTGCATGCCATCTAGAGCCTGCACCGCAATTCTCAAGTCGAAAATCCAAAGGGGTGGGGAGCTATAGCATTTCAACATTTGCCCCAAGTATGAATGTTTGAGCGTTTCCCCATGAAAGCACATGCTCTTCTTTTATTTTTCCCAGCTACTCAGCATGCCCTAAGCCCTTGTTTTTTGCATGGCTGGTTAGTGCATGCCATCTAGAGCCTGCACCGCAATTCTCAAGTCGAAAATCCAAAGGGTGGGGAGCTATAGCATTTCAACATTTGCCCCAAGTATGAATGTTTGAGCGTTTCCCCATGAAAGCACATGCTCTTCTTTTATTTTTCCCAGCTACTCAGCATGCCCTAAGCCCTTGTTTTTTGCATGGCTTTGCATGTGATCTAGAGCCTGCACCGCAATTCTCAAGTCGAAAATCCAAAGGGGTGGGGAGCTATAGCATTTCAACATTTGCCCCAAGTATGAATGTTTGAGCGTTTCCCCATGAAAGCACATGCACTTCTTTTATTTTTCCCAGCTACTCAGCATGCCCTAAGCCCTTTTTTTTCGCATGGCTGGTTAGTGCATGCCATCTAGAGCCTGCACCGCAATTCTCAAGTCGAAAATCCAAAGGGGTGGGGAGCTATAGCATTTCAACATTTGCCCCAAGTATGAATGTTTGAGCGTTTCCCCATGAAAGCACATGCTCTTCTTTTATTTTTCCCAGCTACTCAGCATGCCCTAAGCCCTTGTTTTTTGCATGGCTGGTTAGTGCATGCCATCTAGAGCCTGCACCGCAATTCTCAAGTCGAAAATCCAAAGGGTGGGGAGCTATAGCATTTCAACATTTGCCCCAAGTATGAATTTTGAGCGTTTCCCCATGAAAGCACATGCTCTTCTTTTATTTTTCCCAGCTACTCAGCATGCCCTAAGCCCTTGTTTTTTGCATGGCTGGTTAGTGCATGCCATCTAGAGCCTGCACCGCAATTCTCAAGTCGAAAATCCAAAGGGGTGGGGAGCTATAGCATTTCAACATTTGCCCCAAGTATGAATGTTTGAGCGTTTCCCCATGAAAGCACATGCTCTTCTTTTATTTTTCCCAGCTACTCAGCATGCCCTAAGCCCTTGTTTTTTGCATGGCTGGTTAGTGCATGCGATCTAGAGCCTGCACCGCAATTCTCAAGTCGAAAATCCAAAGGGTGGGGAGCTATAGCATTTCAACATTTGCCCCAAGTATGAATGTTTGAGCGTTTCCCCATGAAAGCACATGCTCTTCTTTTATTTTTCCCAGCTACTCAGCATGCCCTAAGCCCTTGTTTTTTGCATGGCTGGTTAGTGCATGCGATCTAGAGCCTGCACCGCAATTCTCAAGTCGAAAATCCAAAGGGTGGGGAGCTATAGCATTTCAACATTTGCCCCAAGTATGCATGTTTGAGCGTTTCCCCATGAAAGCACATGCTCTTCTTTTATTTTTCCCAGCTACTCAGCATGCCCTAAGCCCTTGTTTTTTGCATGGCTGGTTAGTGCATGCCATCTAGAGCCTGCACCGCAATTCTCAAGTCGAAAATCCAAAGGGTGGGGAGCTATAGCATTTCAACATTTGCCCCAAGTATGAATTTTGAGCGTTTCCCCATGAAAGCACATGCTCTTCTTTTATTTTTCCCAGCTACTCAGCATGCCCTAAGCCCTTGTTTTTTGCATGGCTGGTTAGTGCATGCCATCTAGAGCCTGCACCGCAATTCTCAAGTCGAAAATCCAAAGGGGTGGGGAGCTATAGCATTTCAACATTTGCCCCAAGTATGAATGTTTGAGCGTTTCCCCATGAAAGCACATGCTCTTCTTTTATTTTTCCCAGCTACTCAGCATGCCCTAAGCCCTTGTTTTTTGCATGGCTGGTTAGTGCATGCGATCTAGAGCCTGCACCGCAATTCTCAAGTCGAAAATCCAAAGGGTGGGGAGCTATAGCATTTCAACATTTGCCCCAAGTATGAATGTTTGAGCGTTTCCCCATGAAAGCACATGCTCTTCTTTTATTTTTCCCAGCTACTCAGCATGCCCTAAGCCCTTGTTTTTTGCATGGCTGGTTAGTGCATGCGATCTAGAGCCTGCACCGCAATTCTCAAGTCGAAAATCCAAAGGGTGGGGAGCTATAGCATTTCAACATTTGCCCCAAGTATGCATGTTTGAGCGTTTCCCCATGAAAGCACATGCTCTTCTTTTATTTTTCCCAGCTACTCAGCATGCCCTAAGCCCTTTTTTTTGCATGGCTGGTTAGTGCATGCCATCTAGAGCCTGCACCGCAATTCTCAAGTCGAAAATCCAAAGGGGTGGGGAGCTATAGCATTTCAACATTTGCCCCAAGTATGAATGTTTGAGCGTTTCCCCATGAAAGCACATGCTCTTCTTTTATTTTTCCCAGCTACTCAGCATGCCCTAAGCCCTTGTTTTTTGCATGGCTGGTTAGTGCATGCCATCTAGAGCCTGCACCGCAATTCTCAAGTCGAAAATCCAAAGGGTGGGGAGCTATAGCATTTCAACATTTGCCCCAAGTATGAATGTTTGAGCGTTTCCCCATGAAAGCACATGCTCTTCTTTTATTTTTCCCAGCTACTCAGCATGCCCTAAGCCCTTGTTTTTTGCATGGCTGGTTAGTGCATGCCATCTAGACCCTGCACCGCAATTCTCAAGTATGAATATTTGAGCGTTTCCCCATGAAAGCACATGCTCTTCTTTTATTTTTCCCAGCTACTCAGCATGCCCTAAGCCCTTGTTTTTTGCATGGCTTTGCATGTGATCTAGAGCCTGCACCGCAATTCTCAAGTCGAAAATCCAAAGGGGTGGGGAGCTATAGCATTTCAACATTTGCCCCAAGTATGATGTTTGAGCGTTTCCCCATGAAAGCACATGCACTTCTTTTATTTTTCCCAGCTACTCAGCATGCCCTAAGCCCTTTTTTTTTGCATGGCTGGTTAGTGCATGCCATCTAGAGCCTGCACCGCAATTCTCAAGTCGAAAATCCAAAGGGGTGGGGAGCTATAGCATTTCAACATTTGCCCCAAGTATGAATGTTTGAGCGTTTCCCCATGAAAGCACATGCTCTTCTTTTATTTTTCCCAGCTACTCAGCATGCCCTAAGCCCTTTTTTTTTGCATGGCTTTGCATGTGATCTAGAGCCTGCACCGCAATTCTCAAGTCGAAAATCCAAAGGGGTGGGGAGCTATAGCATTTCAACATTTGCCCCAAGTATGATGTTTGAGCGTTTCCCCATGAAAGCACATGCCTTCTTTTATTTTTCCCAGCTACTCAGCATGCCCTAAGCCCTTTTTTTTGCATGGCTGGTTAGTGCATGCCATTGGCCTGCACCGCAATTCTCAAGTTGAAAATCCAAAGGGGTGGGGAGCTATAGCATTTCAACATTTGCCCCAAGTATGAATATTTGAGCGTTTCCCCATGAAAGTGTTGTGTGATGTCATCATATGCTATCACATTCTGTCTGCCTCCCATCCCATGTTTTCAACTTGCATGTGTGGTTTGAATGTGCAAGAATTTGTGTGTGGTGTGTTCTGGAGTTTGGGAATGTGTTCTGTGTTATTTTTGTTTGAGCAGGTATTTGTGATGATAGATCTTGAGAAGATCTTTCCGACGCAACAAGAATCTCTTCAATCGGAGCAAGAACGCGAAAGCTATGAAGATTCAAAGTTCATGAGCTTGCGTTACAATTGCGGCGGTTACAAAGTGAAGTTGTGGGGTGACTCTATATGGAGTTGGGACCTTTGGGGTTGGGAAACTTGTCACTCTACTGTAACAGCTGCAAATAGGTTGGGAACAACCAAGCTAGGTTGGCAAGGGTGGCCAACTTGGATGGATTGGTTGGGAAGGGACAAATGTCAAAGTTGGGGTTCCTATAGGGAGGGAATCTTTGTGCTTATGGGGTTTCCTTGGTTGGGGACTCTCTTGGGACCTTCCCTCTCATCCCTCTCTTCTATCCCAACCTTTCTCTTGCTCCTTCTAATTCCTTGTGAGATTCTTGAACTTTGATTGAACTTTGAGATTGAGTTAAGTTCTCCTCCTACAGCTTACCCCCTAGTGCGTCGAAAGCCATAGCGTCGCGAATACTTCATCAATCAACATGATTCAAATTGGGAACGGTAGCTGAGATTAAGAGCTACAACATATCCAAGTTTCGCGACATTCCAACGGCTAGTTTTTCGTCGACGTCGTTTCTTGTGAAGACGACTTTTCTGTCCAGAATTTCGGATTTATATTTTGAGTAATTCTAGCTCCTAAGTTCACCTAGACTCCGTCCTTAATCCTAACAAGTGGTATCAGAGCGATATTAAGGACATTGAGAGGAGTCTACAGAAGTGTGAAGACCCTTCTAGACCCACCATGGCCTGTGGGTGTGCCTAAGTGGTGTTCTAAAGGTTGGATGTGTCTTCCGCTAAGGGAAACTCTGCCGAAATTTCGTGGACGCCGACACTTGTGAAAATATCGAGGGAGCTGAGTGTGGACAGCAAAGGGGGCTGAAATTCGTCATTTCTCAAGGAGAAGATGAATGAGAGAGGAGGAGATGCTAATGGAAGAGGAGCTGTAGCTGAGAAGACAAGTGAGCCGCCGCCATCAAAAGTTGAAGCTTTGGATGGCTCCAACTATGAGGAATGGAGCGGACGGATGAGGAGTGCCTTCAAACGCTACAAGCTACTGAAGATTGCTGTTGGGGAAGAGAAGATGCCGGAAGAAGGCGAAGCACGTGAACGGTGGATTGAGAAAAGCGCGGTGCTTTTCGACCTCATCCTTCAATCGGTCAACAAGGAGATGTTCGAGCACATCAAGGATCTTGTGGAAGCGGATGATTCGGGTCCAAGGGCGTGGAAACTACTACGCGATGTGATTCAGCCCAACACTCTCCCGATGGTGATCGTGCTCGAGAAGGAACTTGCTGCCATCTCCATGCGACCAGGGGACGATGTGAAGCCGGTCCTTGACAAGATCAAGGACACCTATGCAAGGATGGCAGCAGCGGGCAGCAGTGTATCTCAGCTGCAGCAGTGCACCAAGATCATCTCGGTGTTGGACAACTCTTGGGACAACCTCATCCCCACCCTCAACTCTCAGCAAGATCAATGGACACCTGAGTGGCTAAGGCAGCAGATTCTGCAGGAGGACTTCCGCAGACGCCATGTGGGAGGCGGTGCTGCCACTAAGACTGCTGAGGGGTATGGAGCTGCAGGGCGCGGCAGAGGAAGAGGGGGTTGGAGAGGCCGAGGCCGTGGGAGGAGCTTTGGCAGAGGTAGAGGCCGAGGTGACTATAATGAGGGGCATGGGAGCTCCAGTGGCAGGGGGAGTACCAGAATGGAGGGCACCTGCTGGTACTGCAAGAAGATGGGCATCCTTGGTTCAAGTGCTTCAGCAGGCCGGAGGGATGGGCACCTCCAGGCATGAAGCCGCCCAGTGGTGAACGCGCACAAGGTGGCGCTGTGCAAGGCTCAGGTGCACAAGGTGAAGGTGCACAAGGTAATGCCTATCCTGGTTTGTTTCTTATGGTTGAGGATGTGCATGGGCATGAGGGTGATGTGGGATCTGTGGGAAAGGTTGTGATGCACCCTCTCACGCACTGGGTGATTGATTCGGGTTGCACCAGTCACATGACCCCACGGGCAGATTTGCTTGATGAGGTAAAACCCCCTGGGAAGATTAAGTATGTGGCAGCAGCGTCAGGTGCTTTGCTCCCTGTGATTGGTGTTGGAAATGCCAAGGTTAAGGGAGCTAATGGGGAGCTTGTGGGGCTTGGGAATGTTCTGCTGGTTAAAGGCTTGTCTGCTAACCTTCTCTCTGTGCGGCGACTGCAGAAGAGTAAGGCCGAAGTGACCTTTGGACCAACCAGCTGCCGTGCTAAGCTTGGGAAGAAGGTGCTGTGGAGTCTGGAAGAGGAGACCAGCTGCATCAAGGACCTGTGGCAGCTGCCCATCATCCCTTGGAATGGGAAGACTCCAACAGCAGCAACGGCAGCAGCGGCAAAGGCAACAGCAGGAGGAGATGCAACTGCACCAACTGATGGGGTCCTGGAAGCAGTCAAGAAAGTGCAGCAGCAGCAGACACATGGTGAGGTGCTTGCTGGTGTGGATGCGAGTGCGGCATGGGCTAAGGCTTCATCAAGGAGTGGAGAGGCCGATTGGGAGACATGGCATGAGAGGCTGTGTCATGTGAACTTCCCTATGCTGCAGAAGTTGGTGAAGGATGGGAGCCTGAAGGGCTTGGAGGTGAAAGGGGGAGTGAAGGAGATTGGGAGCTGCCCTACATGCTTGGAGACCAAGTTCTCCAAGTTCCCCTTCAACAGCACTACAGGACCAGCCAAGACCCCACTTGCACTTGTGCACATGGATGTGGTGGGGCCCACAAGAGCCCCTTCCCTCTCAGGCAGCCGCTATTTCTTGACAATTGTGGATGACCACACTCGGGCAGTGTGGGTTTACCCTTTGAAGAGCAAGGGGGAGGTGGCAGCGGCTGTCCTTAAGGAGTGGATGCCTAGAGCTCAGAGGGAATGCGGACACAAGGTGAAGGTGATCCGCAGTGACAATGGTGGGGAGTTCATTGGAGCTGATTTTGAGGGGGAGTTGAAGAGGAAGGGGATCCAGCATCAACTGACAGTGCCCTACAACCCGCAGCAGAATGGCGTGGCTGAGAGGTTCAACAGGACCCTGCAGGAGGGGGCACGCACTCTCCTTGGGCGTGCAGGGCTGCCTGATCCGTTTTGGGTGTCTGCACTGAGGCAGGTCGCCCTTGTGAAGAACAGGGTGCTGGCTACAGTTGGAGATAAGGAGTGGATCCCATATGTCAAGTGGTATGGGAGTGCTCCAGCTGTGAACATGCTGAGGGCATTTGGGTGCATGGTGGTGTTTCATGTGCCTAAGGAGAAAAGGGGAAGTTGGAGGCTTCTGGAAGATGGGGTGTGCACTTGGGGATTGCAAAGGATCACAAGGGTGGCTGCTATGGGACTTGACCACCCAGAAGCTGACAGTGTCAAGGGATGTGAAGTTTCTTGAGTCCCTGTACTACAAGGAATGGAAGCAGCAGCAACAGAAGCTTCCATCTACACCGCTCATTGTGGAGGCAGATGAGGTGCAGCAGCCTTCAAGACAGGTGGAGGTTGCAGTGTCAGAGGAGGAGATGTCTGGGGTGACTGAGGAAGGGGGAGCAGCTGAAGTAGAGCAGCAGCAGCAGCAGCAGCATGAGTCTCCACCTCGAGTTCCACACCCGCCTGAGCGACCTAGGAGGGATGTGCGCCCTCCGTGAGGCTGACCTATGGGGGAAGAGGCAAGCCGAATGTGGTGCAGGCTGGGAGTGTGGTTGAGCAGATTGAGGAAGATGAGATCGCTCACTGCTATTGGGCACCAATCCCTGAGCCTAAGACTGACGCTAGCTTCAACTCAGTAAAAGCGGATGGCACCAGCATTGGGGGTTATGTGTGCTTGCTAGGAGGTGGTGCTGTGAGCTGGCGCAGCAAGAAGCAGAATGAGGTGGGATTGTCCTCATGTGAGACTGAGTACATGGCCTTACACCATGGGGCCAAGGAAGTAGTGTGGCTAAGGCGTTTGTTGGAGGAGTTGGGAGTTGGTCAGAAGGAGCCGACGGTGATCTTCTGTGACAATGAGTCCGCTGTGAAGCTCGCCAAGAATGCTTGTCTGCATGGGCTGACAAAACACATAAGGCCTAAGTGGCATTGGGTGAGGAGACTCCTTGATAAGGAGGTGCGGCTGGAGATAGTGAAGACCCATCAGCAGGCAGCAGATATTTTCACCAAGCGTCTGGCGGAGGCGGATCATTGGAAGGGCATGAAGCTTGCTGGGATGAGTGTGCATTGAGTATGCATGCTTGAGATGTGGTATGGTGGATGATGGTTGGCAGCCAGAGGGGGAGATTGTTGTGTGATGTCATCATATGCTATCACATTCTGTCTGCCTCCCATCCCATGTTTTCAACTTGCATGTGTGGTTTGAATGTGCAAGCATTTGTGTGTGGTGTGTTCTGGAGTTTGGGAATGTGTTCTGTGTTATTTTTGTTTGAGCAGGTATTTGTGATGATAGATCTTGAGAAGATCTTTCCGACGCAACAAGAATCTCTTCAATCGGAGCAAGAACGCGAAAGCTATGAAGATTCAAAGTTCATGAGCTTGCGTTACAATTGCGGCGGTTACAAAGTGAAGTTGTGGGGTGACTCTATATGGAGTTGGGACCTTTGGGGTTTGGGAAACTTGTCACTCTACTGTAACAGCTGCAAATAGGTTGGGAACAACCAAGCTAGGTTGGCAAGGGTGGCCAACTTGGATGGATTGGTTGGGAAGGGACAAATGTCAAAGTTGGGGTTCCTATAGGGAGGGAATCTTTGTGCTTATGGGGTTTCCTTGGTTGGGGACTCTCTTGGGACCTTCCCTCTCATCCCTCTCTTCTATCCCAACCTTTCTCTTGCTCCTTCTAATTCCTTGTGAGATTCTTGAACTTTGATTGAACTCTTGAGATTGAGTTAAGTTCTCCTCCTACAGCTTACCCCCTAGTGCGTCGAAAGCCATAGCGTCGCGAATACTTCATCAATCAACATGATTCAAATTGGGAACGGTAGCTGAGATTAAGAGCTACAACATATCCAAGTTTCGCGACATTCCAACGGCTAGTTTTTCGTCGACGTCGTTTCTTGTGAAGACGACTTTTCTGTCCAGAATTTCGGATTTATATTTTGAGTAATTCTAGCTCCTAAGTTCACCTAGACTCCGTCCTTAATTCTAACAGAAAGCACATGCTCTTCTTTTATTTTTCCCAGCTACTCAGCATGCCCTAAGCCCTTGTTTTTTGCATGGCTGGTTAGTGCATGCCATCTAGACCCTGCACCGCAATTCTCAAGTCGAAAATCCAAAGGGGTGGGGAGCTATAGCATTTCAACATTTGCCCCAAGTATGAATGTTTGAGCGTTTCCCCATGAAAGCACATGCTCTTCTTTTATTTTTCCCAGCTACTCAGCATGCCCTAAGCCCTTGTTTTTTGCATGGCTGGTTAGTGCATGCCATCTAGAGCCTGCACCGCAATTCTCAAGTCGAAAATCCAAAGGGTGGGGAGCTATAGCATTTCAACATTTGCCCCAAGTATGAATATTTGAGCGTTTCCCCATGAAAGCACATGCTCTTCTTTTATTTTTCCCAGCTACTCAGCATGCCCTAAGCCCTTGTTTTTTGCATGGCTGGTTAGTGCATGCCATCTAGAGCCTGCACCGCAATTCTCAAGTCGAAAATCCAAAGGGGTGGGGAGCTATAGCATTTCAACATTTGCCCCAAGTATGAATGTTTGAGCGTTTCCCCATGAAAGCACATGCTCTTCTTTTATTTTTCCCAGCTACTCAGCATGCCCTAAGCCCTTGTTTTTTGCATGGCTGGTTAGTGCATGCCATCTAGAGCCTGCACCGCAATTCTCAAGTCGAAAATCCAAAGGGTGGGGAGCTATAGCATTTCAACATTTGCCCCAAGTATGAATGTTTGAGCGTTTCCCCATGAAAGCACATGCTCTTCTTTTATTTTTCCCAGCTACTCAGCATGCCCTAAGCCCTTTTTTTTGCATGGCTGGTTAGTGCATGCCATCTAGAGCCTGCACCGCAATTCTCAAGTCGAAAATCCAAAGGGGTGGGGAGCTATAGCATTTCAACATTTGCCCCAAGTATGAATGTTTGAGCGTTTCCCCATGAAAGCACATGCTCTTCTTTTATTTTTCCCAGCTACTCAGCATGCCCTAAGCCCTTGTTTTTTGCATGGCTGGTTAGTGCATGCCATCTAGAGCCTGCACCGCAATTCTCAAGTCGAAAATCCAAAGGGGTGGGGAGCTATAGCATTTCAACATTTGCCCCAAGTATGAATGTTTGAGCGTTTCCCCATGAAAGCACATGCTCTTCTTTTATTTTTCCCAGCTACTCAGCATGCCCTAAGCCCTTGTTTTTTTGCATGGCTGGTTAGTGCATGCCATCTAGACCCTGCACCGCAATTCTCAAGTATGAATATTTGAGCGTTTCCCCATGAAAGCACATGCTCTTCTTTTATCTTTCCCAGCTACTCAGCATGCCCTAAGCCCTTGTTTTTTGCATGGCTTTGCATGTGATCTAGAGCCTGCACCGAATTCTCAAGTCGAAAATCAAAGGGGTGGGGAGCTATAGCATTTCAACATTTGCCCCAAGTATGCATGTTTGAGCGTTTCCCCATGAAAGCACATGCTCTTCTTTTATTTTTCCCAGCTACTCACATGCCCTAAGCCCTTTTTTTTTGCATGGCTGGTTAGTGCATGCCATCTAGAGCCTGCACCGCAATTCTCAAGTCGAAAATCCAAAGGGGTGGGGAGCTATAGCATTTCAACATTTGCCCCAAGTATGAATGTTTGAGCGTTTCCCCATGAAAGCACATGCTCTTCTTTTATTTTTCCCAGCTACTCAGCATGCCCTAAGCCCTTTTTTTTTGCATGGCTGTTATGCATGCATCTAGAGCCTGCACCGCAATTCTCAAGTCGAAAATCCAAAGGGGTGGGGAGCTATAGCATTTCAACATTTGCCCCAAGTATGAATGTTTGAGCGTTTCCCCATGAAAGCACATGCTCTTCTTTTATTTTTCCCAGCTACTCAGCATGCCCTAAGCCCTTTTTTTTTGCATGGCTGGTTAGTGCATGCCATCTAGAGCCTGCACCGCAATTCTCAAGTCGAAAATCCAAAGGGGTGGGGAGCTATAGCATTTCAACATTTGCCCCAAGTATGAATGTTTGAGCGTTTCCCCATGAAAGCACATGCTCTTCTTTTATTTTTCCCAGCTACTCAGCATGCCCTAAGCCCTTGTTTTTTGCATGGCTGGTTAGTGCATGCCATCTAGAGCCTGCACCGCAATTCTCAAGTCGAAAATCCAAAGGGGTGGGGAGCTATAGCATTTCAACATTTGCCCCAAGTATGAATGTTTGAGCGTTTCCCCATGAAAGCACATGCTCTTCTTTTATTTTTCCCAGCTACTCAGCATGCCCTAAGCCCTTGTTTTTTGCATGGCTGGTTAGTGCATGCCATCTAGAGCCTGCACCGCAATTCTCAAGTCGAAAATCCAAAGGGGTGGGGAGCTATAGCATTTCAACATTTGCCCCAAGTATGAATGTTTGAGCGTTTCCCCATGAAAGCACATGCTCTTCTTTTATTTTTCCCAGCTACTCAGCATGCCCTAAGCCCTTTTTTTTGCATGGCTGGTTAGTGCATGCCATCTAGAGCCTGCACCGCAATTCTCAAGTCGAAAATCCAAAGGGGTGGGGAGCTATAGCATTTCAACATTTGCCCCAAGTATGAATATTTGAGCGTTTCCCCATGAAAGCACATGCTCTTCTTTTATTTTTCCCAGCTACTCAGCATGCCCTAAGCCCTTGTTTTTTGCATGGCTGGTTAGTGCATGCCATCTAGAGCCTGCACCGCAATTCTCAAGTCGAAAATCCAAAGGGGTGGGGAGCTATAGCATTTCAACATTTGCCCCAAGTATGAATGTTTGAGCGTTTCCCCATGAAAGCACATGCTCTTCTTTTATTTTTCCCAGCTACTCAGCATGCCCTAAGCCCTTGTTTTTTGCATGGCTGGTTAGTGCATGCCATCTAGAGCCTGCACCGCAATTCTCAAGTATGAATATTTGAGCGTTTCCCCATGAAAGCACATGCTCTTCTTTTATCTTTCCCAGCTACTAGCATGCCTAAGCCCTTGTTTTTTGCATGGCTTTGCATGTGATCTAGAGCCTGCACCGAATTCTCAAGTCGAAAATCCAAAGGGGTGGGGAGCTATAGCATTTCAACATTTGCCCCAAGTATGAATGTTTGAGCGTTTCCCCATGAAAGCACATGCTCTTCTTTTATTTTTCCCAGCTACTCAGCATGCCCTAAGCCCTTGTTTTTTGCATGGCTGGTTAGTGCATGCCATCTAGAGCCTGCACCGCAATTCTCAAGTCGAAAATCCAAAGGGGTGGGGAGCTATAGCATTTCAACATTTGCCCCAAGTATGAATGTTTGAGCGTTTCCCCATGAAAGCACATGCTCTTCTTTTATTTTTCCCAGCTACTCAGCATGCCCTAAGCCCTTGTTTTTTGCATGGCTGGTTAGTGCATGCCATCTAGAGCCTGCACCGCAATTCTCAAGTCGAAAATCCAAAGGGGTGGGGAGCTATAGCATTTCAACATTTGCCCCAAGTATGAATGTTTGAGCGTTTCCCCATGAAAGCACATGCTCTTCTTTTATTTTTCCCAGCTACTCAGCATGCCCTAAGCCCTTGTTTTTTGCATGGCTGGTTAGTGCATGCCATCTAGAGCCTGCACCGCAATTCTCAAGTCGAAAATCCAAAGGGGTGGGGAGCTATAGCATTTCAACATTTGCCCCAAGTATGAATGTTTGAGCGTTTCCCCATGAAAGCACATGCTCTTCTTTTATTTTTCCCAGCTACTCAGCATGCCCTAAGCCCTTGTTTTTTGCATGGCTGGTTAGTGCATGCCATCTAGAGCCTGCACCGCAATTCTCAAGTCGAAAATCCAAAGGGGTGGGGAGCTATAGCATTTCAACATTTGCCCCAAGTATGAATGTTTGAGCGTTTCCCCATGAAAGCACATGCTCTTCTTTTATTTTTCCCAGCTACTCAGCATGCCCTAAGCCCTTGTTTTTTGCATGGCTGGTTAGTGCATGCCATCTAGAGCCTGCACCGCAATTCTCAAGTCGAAAATCCAAAGGGGTGGGGAGCTATAGCATTTCAACATTTGCCCCAAGTATGAATGTTTGAGCGTTTCCCCATGAAAGCACATGCTCTTCTTTTATTTTTCCCAGCTACTCAGCATGCCCTAAGCCCTTGTTTTTTGCATGGCTGGTTAGTGCATGCCATCTAGAGCCTGCACCGCAATTCTCAAGTCGAAAATCCAAAGGGGTGGGGAGCTATAGCATTTCAACATTTGCCCCAAGTATGAATGTTTGAGCGTTTCCCCATGAAAGCACATGCTCTTCTTTTATTTTTCCCAGCTACTCAGCATGCCCTAAGCCCTTGTTTTTTGCATGGCTGGTTAGTGCATGCCATCTAGAGCCTGCACCGCAATTCTCAAGTCGAAAATCCAAAGGGGTGGGGAGCTATAGCATTTCAACATTTGCCCCAAGTATGAATGTTTGAGCGTTTCCCCATGAAAGCACATGCTCTTCTTTTATTTTTCCCAGCTACTCAGCATGCCCTAAGCCCTTGTTTTTTGCATGGCTGGTTAGTGCATGCCATCTAGAGCCTGCACCGCAATTCTCAAGTCGAAAATCCAAAGGGGTGGGGAGCTATAGCAT